TCCAGGATAGGTTCGAGTCCTCCCTGGGTGGAGCTGCCATGAGCTCATGTAGTCTCTCTCTCATCACAGATTGACTCCAATGATATAGAAGACACTGGCCAAGGTGCCCACCAACAGCAGCAAGGAGCTCTTCTTCACACCGACGGCACCACTTGTGTTGCAGAAGGAATGTTGACAGCATTTCACTGAGAAAGCCATCACGCCGATATCAAACCCTACTTCAGGACAATCGGCAGAACATCCTTTGCTGATCAGTTCCTTGTGGTCTTCGCCTACAGGAGAGGAAGAAAATTAACACGATTGTTTTGTCTCCATCATTTAATTTTATTTTTGGGGGGTGTGGTGGCCTAGAGGTGGAGCTCTCACCTCACAATCAGGAGGCTGTGAGTTCGATCCTAGGCAGAGGCAGATTTTTTTCTCTCTGGGCACAATGAGAATATATCTGCTGAACAAAGCTCCGCATTGGTGACAGGAAAGGCATCTGGCCATTAAAACACTCTGTTTCATTCAGTTGCCCTGACTCCACCCCGCAAGGGATTATGGGCTCATTAAAAGGAGATAAGGATGATTTTATTTTATTTTATTTTCAAGAGTAGCTAATTGGAATCATAAGTCTGGGTGTTCTGGCTTCCAACTCTTTGGAAGAAGAACTCAACTGCTTTTTTTAAAATAAAATAAAAACTATTATAACTAAAATTAGAAAAGGAAAGGATACAAAGTTGGTTTATTTGACCAAGCTTAAAATAAGACTATTTTCTATTCTATTTCATTCCATATTTTCTATATCCTATAACCTATCCTATTCTATTTTCTGTTCCATTCCATTCCATATTTTCAATATCCTATATCCTATCCTTTCCTATGCTATCCTATTCTATTTCATTCCATATTTTCTATATCCTGTATCCTATCCTATTCTATTTTCTATTCTATCCTATTTTCTATTTCATTCCATATTTTCTATATCCTATATCCTATTCTATTCTATTTTCTATTTATTCTGTATTCTATTCCACTCCATTCCATATTTTCTATATCCTGTA